CACGAACAAAGGGGACATATGAAAAACCTCCAGAGCGCTCACGAAACCCTTACAATACGAAGGGACGAAGGGAGGGGACAAAAGATAAACCTTTAGGCCGCTCCCAACTCACAGGAACACGAAGCAGGGGGGCATACGACAAACCTCTAGGGCGGTCAATAGCCCTCATAATACGACCACGGAAGCAAATGACTTATGATGACAATCATCTAGACGCCAAGAAAGGGGACATACGACAAACCTCCAAGGCCGAATGCAACCCTCACAACACGAAGGGACGAAGGGAGGGGACATATGACAAGCCTCTGGCCCCTACCAAATCTCAGGAACACGAAGCGGGGGAATATACAACAAACCTCTAGGGCAGCCACTAGCCCCTCATAGTACGAGCGCGGAAGGAATGATTTTTGACAATTATCTAGACACTCCCCAAACCCTACAAGCACGAAGAAATCGGACATGCGACAAACCTCCGGGGCCCTCACAAAACCCTTACAACACGAACGAAGAAAACAACTCATACAAACCTCTGGGCCCCTACCAAATCACAACAACACGAAGCGGGGGGACATACGACTAACCTCTAGGGCAGTCACTAACCCCTCAAGATGGGGGGTGAAAGGGATTATGGGAGATGATGGGGAATGATGATGGGGGATGATGGGGGATGATGCGGGATGATGGGAGATGATGGGGGATGATGGGGAATGATGGGGGATGACGCGGGATGAGAGACATGATGGGGCATGATAGGGGCTGATCGGGGACGATGATGGGGGCCTGATGGGGGATGATGGTGGATGATGGGGGGGTGAAAGGGATTATGAGAGATGACGGGGAATGATGATGGGAGATGATGGGGGATGATTGGGGGATGATGGGGCATGATGGGGGATGAGAGAAACGATGGGAGATGATGCGGGGTGATGTGGGATGGGCAATGAGCGGGTATGTCTGAAATCCTGGAAAAGACAAATCCCGGGGTTTGATTTTAAAGGGTTTTAATTCTTTTTCGGCATCTTAACTTTTTATGAACTCCTTACACAATGGCTACGGCTCAAGTGCCATACTGGTTACGAGGCCCAAAAGGGCACAGCCTGTGTACAGTTCAGCAGAAAGAGGGAGTTTGTATTGCCATGGCAGATCCGAAACAAAAGCTGGTATCCGTGTTGGGCTACGCGCAGCGGCATGCGAAGAAAATGGGACTCACAGGTGTTAGACAATGCATCAACTCTGCCTTGACAACGGTTTTGACGATGGACTCTTCAACCACTCCACAGATCAACTGTAGCATGGTCGTCGACTTGAACCATGCTTTGCCGGATATGCGAATGGGGTGCTCTGGAATTCCTTCCGACCAAGGTGCGTGCAGAGCTGCGGCATGTCAGACAGACTTCGAGATGATAACGCGAGCACAGTGTGAGTCCCTTGTGATGGACATTCGGGCCCAATATGCTGTTGTCTTGGAGCAGGCCAAGACTCAAATCAAGAATCACGTGGCTACCATTCAACAGCTTGACTCGGAGCTTGAGGCTGCAAGAAATGAGGTGAGGACGCGTCTTGAAGCCATTGAGTCGAAAGTGCTTCCAGTGCCGGCGACTTCACCTACCTTTCCGCGAGCCCTGGCGCATGGGGACTGTGAAAGTAAACGGTGCCGGGTTGGTGACTCTCGGTACTGCTCTCTCGGTCCTTGCTCAGCGAACTCTAGTGCATCCGCTTCTCGCGCTAGCAGTTTCGCTGAGAGAGTTGCTGCCAAGACAGAGCGTCGAAAAGCTAGATTTTTGTCTGCACAAGATGGTTTCAGTTAGTGCTGTCAGCTCGGAGAGCGATAGCCTGATCCAGGCGAGGACTCACGCAAGCCTGCTGCAAAAGGGTAATATCCTTGAAACCCTTAACAAAAATCAAATACCGGATTTGATGGTGTAAGGAGTTCATAAAAAGTTAAGGTGCCGAAAAAGAATTAAAACCCTTTAAAATCAAACCCCGGGATTTGTCTTTTCCAGGATTTCAGACATACCCGCTCATTGCCCATCCCACATCACCCCGCATCATCTCCCATCGTTTCTCTCATCCCCCATCATGCCCCATCATCCCCCAATCATCCCCCATCATCTCCCATCATCATTCCCCGTCATCTCTCATAATCCCTTTCACCCCCCCCATCATCCACCCTAAACCCTAAACCCTAAACCCTAAACCCTAAACCCTAAACCCTCAACCCTAAACCCAACCCTAAACCCTAAACCCTAAACCGAACCCCGGGATTTAGTTCTTTAAGGATTTCAATGATTTTTTGGGCATTTTAAATTTCATGAAATCCTTGAAAAATTAAATCCCGGGATTTAGTTTTTCAAGGATTTCAAGGATTTCATAAACTTGAAATACCGGAGCTCCTGCAAAAGCAAACGCCCCCCTCCCCACTCAGAGTACGGGAAGACCACGCGGATTTTAAAATTTATGAAATCCTTGAAATCCTTGAAAAACCAAATCCCGGGATTTGATTTTTCCAAGGATTTCATAAAATTTATAATGCCCCAAAAAAGCCTTGAAATCCTTAAAATATTAAATCCCGGGATTTGATTTTTTAAGGATTTCAAGGATTTTTCGGGCATTTTAAATTTTATGAAATCCTTGAAAAATTAAATCCCGGGATTTGATTTTTCAAGGATTTCAAGGACTTCATAAAATTTAAATACCGGAACTCCTGCAAAAGCAAACCCCCCCCCTCCCCTCTCAGAGTACGGGAAGACCACGCGGATTTTAAAATTTATGAAATCCTTGAAATCCTTGAAAAATTAAATCCCGGGATTTGATTTTTCAAGGATTTCATGAAATTTAAAATGCCCAAAAAATCCTTGAAATCCTTAAAAGAATCAAATCCCGGGATTTAATATTTTAAGGATTTCAAGGATTTTTTGGGCATTTTAAATTTTATGAAAACCTTGAAAAATCAAATCCCGGGATTTGATTTTTCAAGGATTTCAAGGATTTCATAAAATTTAAATACCGGAACTCCTGCAAAAGCAAACCCCCCCCTCCCCACTCAGAGTACGGGAAGACCACGCGGATTTTAAAATTTATGAAATCCTTGAAATCCTTGAAAAACCAAATCCCGGGATGTGATTTTTCAAGGATTTCATAAAATTTAAAATGCCCAAAAAATCCTTGAAATCCTTAAAATAATAAATCCCGGGATTTGATTTTTTAAGGATTTCAAGGATTTTTTGGGCATTTTAAATTTCATGAAATCCTTGAAAAATCAAATCCCGGGATTTAATTTTTCAAGGATTTCAAGGATTTCATAAAATTTAAATACCGGAACTCCTGCAAAAGCACACCCCCCCTCCCCACTCAGAGTACGGGAAGACCACGCGGATTTTAAAATTTATGAAATCCTTGAAATCCTTGAAAAATCAAATCCCGGGATTTGATTTTTCAAGGATTTCATAAAATTTAAAATGCCCAAAAAATCCTTGAAATCCTTAAAATATTAAATCCCGGGATTTGATTTTTTAAGGATTTCAAGGATTTTTTGGGAATTTTAAATTTCATGAAATCCTTGAAAAATCAAATCCCGGGATTTAATTTTTCAAGGATTTCAAGGATTTCATAAAATTTAAATACCGGAACTCCTGCAAAAGCACACCCCCCCCTCCCCACTCAGAGTACGGGAAGACCACGCGGATTTTAAAATTTATGAAATCCTTGAAATCCTTGAAAAATCAAATCCCGGGATTTAATTTTTCAAGGGTTTCATAAAATTTAAAATGCCCAAAAAATCCTTGAAATCCTTAAAATATTAAATCCCGGGATTTGATTTTTTTAAGGATTTCAAGGGTTTTTTGGGCATTTTAAATTTTATGAAATCCTTGAAAAATTAAATCCCGGGATTTGATTTTTCAAGGATTTCAAGGACTTCATAAAATTTAAATACCGGAACTCCTGCACAAGCAAACCCCCCCCCTCCCCTCTCAGAGTACGGGAAGACCACGCGGATTTTAAAATTTATGAAATCCTTGAAATCCTTGAAAAATTAAATCCCGGGATTTGATTTTTCAAGGATTTCATGAAATTTAAAATGCCCATAAAATCCTTGAAATCCTAAAAGAATCAAATCCCGGGATTTAATATTTTAAGGATTTCAAGGATTTTTTGGGCATTTTAAATTTTATGAAATCCTTGAAAAATTAAATCCCGGGATTTGATTTTTCAAGGATTTCAAGGATTTCATAAAATTTAAATACCGGAACTCCTGCAAAAGCAAACCCCCCCCTCCCCACTCAGAGTACGGGAAGACCACGCGGATTTTAAAATTTATGAAATCCTTGAAATCCTTGAAAAACCAAATCCCGGGATTTAATTTGTCAAGGATTTCAGAAAATTTAAAATGCCCAAAAAATCCTTGAAATCCTTAAAATATTAAATCCCGGGATTTGATTTTTTAAGGATTTCAAGGATTTTTCGGGCATTTTAAATTTCATGAAATCCTTGAAAAATCAAATCCCGGGATTTAATTTTTCAAGGATTTCAAGGATTTCATAAAATTTAAATACCGGAACTCCTGCAAAAGCAAACCCCCCCTCCCCACTCAGAGTACGGGAAGACCACGCGGATTTTAAAATTTATGAAATCCTTGAAATCCTTGAAAAATCAAATCCCGGGATTTAATTTTTCAAGGATTTCATAAAATTTAAAATGCCCAAAAAATCCTTGAAATCCTTAAAATATTAAATCCCGGGATTTGATTTTTTTAAGGATTTCAAGGATTTTTTGGGCATTTTAAATTTCATGAAATCCTTGAAAAATCAAATCTAGGGATTTCCCCGGCGGCAAAAGAGGCGTGCCAAATAGACCCTAAAGGTCCTACGTACTTAGGGGTTTAGGGTCCCGACATCTACATGAGAGACCCTTTGAGCTCCAAAAGGCCACGAGCTTCCAGCAGAAAGCATGTCATAGAGCACAGCGTTCACAACTGCCTCTCTTTTTGGGCATTTGCTGCCATGGCTTTGGGGCTGCCGTGCAAGTTGGTCTTCTTGCTTCTCCTGCCTCGGGGAGTGGACGCATCGGAGACGTGGGAGCAAATAACCCCTACTGGCACTCCGCCAAGTGCTCGAAAGGGCCATGCAGCTGCCTGGAACGCCAACGAAAGCCGGATGTTTGTCTTCGGAGGCGCCCAGTCGAGGGTGTGAGTTCTTGTGGGGTGGTTTTGGCTTAACAGTAACCCTGCGGTGACTCCGGGCACATGTCGTGAACCCTCGTGAACCCTCATGAGGCTATCAGAGCGGCAGTTACTTGAACGACCTTTACTACTTCGACAGCCGGGAAATATCCTGGCAGCAGCTGAACCCAGCAACACCTCCCGACGGGCGCGATCTGGCCTCAGCAGCTTGGAATCCATGTGAGGGCTTGATATACCTCTTCGGAGGAAGGACGGCAAGCAGTCCCTTGAGTGACCTGTGGTATTATGGCATCCAAGAGAACTCATGGCAGCAGCTCTCTCCGGATGGCTCCGTGCCCGCCCGATACTACCACACGGCTGTTTGGAGCATCCAGCTTTCCTGCCTCTATGTCTTCGGCGGCGTTGGTGCTTCCGGGGCGCTCGGAGACCTCCACTACTACAGCAGCGTGAACAACACCTGGGAGGAGGTCCTCCCCAGCGGTAGCCCCCCGGGCGCACGTTTTGCGCACGCCGCAGCCTGGGACGACGACCTCCGCAGAATGTATGTCTTTGGCGGCGACGATGGCATCGGCACCAAGCTGAACGATCTGCACCTTCTTCTGCAAAGCGTTTTTTTTTTGAGTGTCTAGGCGGTTTTCCGAGCATCGCCTCGGGCGGCGCCATAAATGGGTGGGTGTACCCCGGTTGGTTCTTGTGCAGTGGAGAAGCGACCGGGCAATGAAGTCAGGTACTTGTTTGCAGCGGCAGGAAGCCTGTGGTCCTTGCTCTCCCCAAGCGGCTCTGTGCCGAGTGCTCGCAGCAGCATGCCAGCGGTGTGGTCCCCGATCGAGAGCCGGATGTACGTTTTCGGAGGAAGCGACGGCACCCGCTTTGATGACTTGCATTACTACGACGCGGACGCAAACAACTGGCAGCCGATCACACTCCCATCTCCAGAGGCACGGATTGACCATACTGCTGTTTGGAGTGGCGTGGAAAGCCGGATGTATGTCTTCGGTGGACAGTCAGACAGTGGCGAGCTGAACGACTTGCAGGCGTTCAACAGCAGTGCTAGTGCGGATACCAGCATTCCCATTTGCACCTCCACCACAACCACGTTGACCGTCACCAGCACCGCAAGCAGCACCACAAGCACCAGCGCAACCATCACCGCGAGTAGCACCGCAAGCACCACTGCAACCAGCGCAAGCACCACCACAAGCACCGCCACAAGCACCACGGCAAGCGCCACCTCAAGCACCACTAAAAGCACCACCTCAAGCACAACTACAAGCACCACTGCAAGCACCACTGCAAGCACCACTGCAAGCACCACCGCAAGCAGCAGTGCAACCAGCACTGCAACGATCACCACAAGCACCGGCACAGGCAGCACCTCTGCCAGCACCTGGACAAGCTCGGGCGTCGTACCAACAAGCTCCACCACCTTGAGCTCGATCTCCCACAGCACGTCCAGCACCACGACACTGTCCTCCACTTCGTCTCGGACCTCATCAGAAACAACCGAGACAAGCACGAGCTCCACCGGCTCCAAGACGACGATGACAACGTCGACGGTCACGAGCACCAGCAGCACTTCCGGCTCCACGTCTTCCACACGCTCAAGCTCCACCCACACCGAAACGACCGTGACCGGAACCTCGACCCTTTCCTTGACAGGAACAAGCACGAGTTCCTAGGTAGGCCCTTGGGATGTTTTACATTTTCCCTGAATTTGGGGGCCTATTTCAGGAATATTTTTCAGAGGGTCTTCGGGGCCATCCTAGGTGAGAGCAGCACCAGCACCACCTTCTCCACCTCCTCCACTTCAAGCTCCACCAGCACCTCACACACGGCCACAAGCACGTCTTCAAGAGGCATCAAGAAGCCCCTGCCTCAGCTCGTCGAGGAGCTGCAGTCCGAAGCTGCAAACTTGGCGCAGGAGCTCCTGGCCAACCTCGACAGCAACGAAAGCGAACTTGCGGTCACGACGCCGCAAGGCCCGGTCACGGCCGTCAGGCTGCCAGACACCACGGAGGAGGCCTCGCTCGTGCACGTGGTGGTGCAGGAAAGCCCTGCTCAAGTACTCTTCTCTCCCGCGTCCGTCGGCTTGTCTACCCTGTCGCAGAGCTCGGAGAACACGACTTTGACCTTGGTGGTGTCCTCCTTGTCTGGGAATGCCAGCAGACTCCTTCTGGGGCGTGGGACGGAGGTCGACCTGGCACCCTCGACAGAGCCGGCAGCGGGCGCGGGAGGCGCGGCGCCAGTGACGCGTTTGGTCGCCGACGCCGTGGACGCCTCCCTCCTCGAAACCGTCGGCGCAAGGACCAGATCCCTCTCCATCGAGGGCACGCTCTCACCGAGCCTTGGCGGGGGGTTTCTCAAATGAGGGGCTGCCTTATTGGGGTCCTTCCTATAATGAGGGAGAGTTGCTATTTTGGGGGGGTCTATCTTAGGGGGTCCCCTCTAGGGGATGACAGGCCATCAATCTCATGACGCCTTAACTCTGTCCAAGAGTCTGTCCATGAAGGGCACCCATTGAAAAGGTTCCGCGCCTGTTCGGTCACACGCGTGTACAAGTATTGCCTTTCGGTTGATCATATTCTTGTTCACTTGTTCACGAGGACACATGAACAATAGATTGGGACCATGAGGGGAGACCCCTCATGTTTCTCCAGGATGAGCCGTGTGTTTCCTCAAAAACTCCCAGCCTCGAGGGTATGAGTATTGAGGTCTTGGTGGTTCATTAGCAGGAGAGGTCGGAAGCGGCAGCTGTGAGAGACGAGAAGCCTCGCCTCCCAGGATCTACCTTCGGCTGTCGGATGACTCTCCACAGTCTGGGTGGTACTGCGCCTTCCTGGATGGGGAGTCTTGGTCCAGGGATGGCGTGCGCCTGGCTACTGCGGCAGAGGTCGCTGCGCTCCATGGGCCCGACGCGAACGTCTCGGGCGTCTGGTGCGCCACGTCGCACCTCTCCATCTTCGGGGTCCTGGTGGATGCCTTGCTGGACTGCACGAACCTCAATGTGCTGTCACAGGAGGGCTTGCAGCAACTGCACTCAGCCTGGTGGCGGCTGTTGCCAGCAGTGGCCTTGTGGGTGCTACTGGCTTCGCTTCTGCTTCTCGTCATGCTGGGCGCGGCCCAGGATGCACGCTGGCAGCGCACAGGCCGGGCTGTGCAACAAAGCGCAGCACAAGCACATACCTATAGGTAGACCCTTGGGAACATGGTGAATTTTCCCTTATTGGGTTTAAGAGGATCATGTCCCGGCATTATTTTTCAGAGGGTGTTAAGGGCCATCCTAAAAACCAACACCCCATCCTGCACCTCGCACAGCACCTCACAGCTTTCCCTAGCTCCGACTCAGGGTTTTGGCGGGACGAGTACCTCCTGATGCTTGCCATTTGCTTGGCCACGCTTTTCTGTTAGACTGATGGTGAGGTGTCAATTTGAAGCTCGTAATTAGCCATTCCTCAGGGCATTTCAGGGTATTTCGGATTTGCTCTCCGCGTTCTTGTAGATGTGCATCGTCTGGATTGCTATCAGGTTCCTTGTGAGCCGTACTCGGTTGTGGGGACATGGAGGGTCCTGCGTAGAGGGTTTGCGAATTGCTGCGGATTCTGTCTTGGGCTTGGGGTTAATTTTGCTTGGGTTGGCGCTGGGAGGGGGGCGGGGGGCCCTTGGTGACCAGGTTTGGCCATTCGTAGGTCATAGACCTCCGTGCCTTTGCCATCTTTTGCCATCTGGCAAAAAATAGTGGCCTTACGTTAGATTCGAATGGAAGGTTGAGAATTCGAGCTTCTGCTGTAAGAATGGGCCGCTGCAGTCTGCAGCTTGTGATCATGATGTTACTGCATCGATTTGGGACCTAAATCCTGGCGGGTCCACAACAGACCCGCGCAAAACTGTGGCCCCACCAGCAAACCTGAGATGGGACTCAGGTCACAGCCTTTAGTGTTGAGAAATGACGCCTTTCTACTCCCCAGTGCGCCTAAAAGCAAGAACTTCCAGCCATTTCTGCCCAGAAGGTTTAACCTTCTCGGAACGGATTAGAAGATGTAGACCATGGACGTCATCATGCTTGGGCCATGGATGCTCTCTTCCCAGAACGGATTAGACTATGGACGTCATCATGGTTGGGCCATGGCAGTGCAGAAAACATGTAGACCATGGACGTCATCATGCTTGGGCCATGGATGCTCTTTTCTCATCAGAACGACTCATCATGCTTGGGCCATGGATGCTCTCTTCCCAGAACGGATTAGACTATGGACGTCATCATGGTTGGGTCATGGATGCTCTCTTCTAACTATGGTGAAGCAAGCGTGTTATTTGGACCCAGGGCTGGGCAGAAGCGGATGCAAGCAAGACAGGGCTTAGTTTAGGACACGTCGAAAGTGCGGAGTAGTGCAAAAAAAACCCACCGATACCAGTGTAGTCTACGGATGCAAAAAAATTGCAGGATAATTTTAGAGAAAAATTGCGGGGATGAGGTGATGGGCGAAACCCAGGAAACATCGGTATTTACAGGGGATTCTGAGGGCAACAGAGCTAAACTGCCGAGAAAGCGTGGGTCTGTTATGGCCCCGCCTAGACCTAAATATAGTAAAGAGTCTAACAGTCGGTGTCTCCGGTTCTTGTCTTGCCTTGATGGGGATGAGAGCTGTCTCCTTGCTACTTTGTGGGTTCTGCTAGGGTCACACTTGGGGTCACACTTGGGGTCACACTTGGGGTCACATTCCCCGAAACCCCGGTTCGAGTCTGACCACTCATGGATCTGCGCGTAGCTTCTCATGCAACATCGGAGTCCGCGACTTCCGTTTCAAGGACTGCACTGGCTTTCCTGCTTTGGTTTAAGTTTCGTGTGGTTTCTTGTAACTGTTGGCCGTGGTGTTTGCGACCCATCTGCCGCGAGGGGGAACGGAATGGTGTTTATAGTTCGACGGTCTCCGCCTAAACCCTCTGCCCGAAGCCCTAAAGCCCCAAACCCAGCCAAATAACAAAGACAGCCAAAAACTCAACCCAAGCTGAGGACGGAGCTTCCGCCAGCTCCGACCTCATGTGGGCTGCAAGCCCTTCACTGCCGACGGCGCGCTGCATCGAAGGCACGCATGATGTAGGAGTTTGGGGTTTATAGGGTTTCAGGACATACTCCGTGCAAGAGGAGTTGCGGGAGAGTCTTTTGGGATCAAGCTATAGGGGATGTTGCCCGAATCCGCAGATTTGGGTGTTCCAAGGTGTTCCCCAAGAGCCAGGGCCTGCTAGGATAGTATCCGAATTCTCCCTTCGGCTTGATTTATGATTCACGGGGCGAAGGCAGGCTTGAGGGATTGGGATGTAAAGCCACATAACCCTAAACCCTCTAAACCCTATGTCGGATTGTCTGCTTGAAGGGCGCCGGATCCAAAGCTTCTCGAAGTCGGTGCTTGCGGTGGGTCTTCGGGATCCAGGGTATACTGAGTGAAGGCAGCGCAACACCCCAAGCTCCAACACCACATGTGTACGCGGCGAGGCTCTCTTCTCTCTGCAACTGAGTACGCCCAAGCTTCCGTAGCTGAGCAGAAACACTGTTTCGGAGGACACCCCCCAATTAAACGCCCGAAACCCAAAACCCTGAACCCGCATTTAAGAGAATTCAGGAGGCCATGACAAGCCAAGAGAGTCGCGCGGCGCTGCGGAGGGCCAAAGCCCTGCAGCCGGCGCTGGCCCAGAAGCTCAAGGAGACGTGGGGTTAGGGTTAGGGTTGTTTAGTTTAGGGTTTAGGGTTTGGGGTTTGGGGTTTGGGGTTTGGGGTTTGGGGTTTGAGGGTTTGGGGTTTGGGGTTTGGGGTTTGACTGGGTTTCTCATTGTTTTTACTGCCAGGGTTGACAGGCTCCAGGGCTTAGGTTAGCAGAACGCTTCATAGGGTGACAGTTGGGTGTGTTGTGAGCTGGGATGCCCCTTCCCTGCAAGTGCCCACTTCTGGTGGAGTGGGTTTCTTCATACTCCATGGTCAAACATGGTGCGTAGATTGGGAGCCGGAGACGATAGAAGCTCGCAAGCAGGAGAGCCTGCAAAGCCAGAACTTGATCCGGGCCGCGGCTCTTCGTTACCGCGTCCATAGCACCACCATCCAGGCACGGCCAGCGGGGGGGGGAAGGGAGGGGTCTTGCTCCTCAATCGCCGGCCACAGCCCTCCAGCTAACACTCCATGTGTGCTTCCCATGCTGTCCCTCAAAGCCATATTCGCCTCTAGTTCCCAGCACCCCCTGAGGCGCACATTTGGGGTCCGAATGGCTGGGTCCAAGCCAGCCTCGCAGTTCAAAAGTCTCAGCCGCTGAAGCTTGGGTGCAGTCTCGTGATGTCTTGTTGGGGGCCCAAAGAGCCCAATACCCCTTAGTAGGTAAGGAACATGCCGGAAGTCACATTAAGGATCCCGTTTTTTGATGAAGGCCTCTTCCTTAGCTAGGGGGTATCGGGCTCTTTGGTTTTTTTTTTGCTGACTTGAAACAAGTGGGTTTGCTCGAAGCTCCGGCTCCATGTCTGGCCTAACCAAGGCCTAAGCACCCGGAAGGCTCCCGCTTTGAAAGCCCGAACATCCGAATTCAAGGCCCGCCCTAAACCCTAAATCCTAAACCCTAAAATTTTGGCTCAAGCCATGTTGGCTCAAGGCTCAAGTGTCCTGGCGAGCTCTGGACCCCCCCGGTGAGTGTTGTGGAAAACTTGGGGTAAGGGGGGCGTGCGTCTGTGTGCGTGTGCGTGTGTGTTGTGCGTTCTCCACTCGTCCCGCTCTCTCTGCCTTCTTCGATCAACGGGGGGGGCGCGGCGAGGGGCCAATGGACCGGCTGCTGGACTACGACAGCCCCCCCGGGGCTGAAGTGGTGACGATCCCCGATGATGATGCCCACAGCGGGGGGGGCCATGTGGGGGGTGAAAACGGGGCTGAACTTCGAACAAGTCGAACGCATGAATGCCCCCCCGGGCAGGCGGATCCTCGAGCGGATGAGAGAGTGAACAGTTCTGTGCATGTTCACAGTTCAGCTCATGTGCCTGTACATGCCACGCATTCTGAACACGGGGGGCCTACGAACGTGACCCATACAGCGCCGAACAAGGAGGGGATGGGACCCCCCGAAGACCACCAAGCGCGTGCAGCGGCAGCGGCACTCCTGGCTGCTCAGTCCTGCCTGCCCGTCAAGCCGAGTAGTGGGGTGCGGGATATCTTGCGCAAGAGCATGGAAACTAAGAGCATGGCGAAAGAGCACGATGATAGCAGATCCAGAGCGAACAGCCCTGAAAAGCGGGCACGCACGACCCGAGCCGACCACACTGATAGAGCTGCAGGCGAACCTTTTGATGAAATCATGGGGGGTTCTCTGCCATGTTTTGGGGTTGGGGCCTTGAGGGATGGTGGGGAGGGAGGGGGGGACGTGGAAGTTCGAACGCCGAAGCCCCCCGGGCTTATGGAGGGACATGTTGGAACGCACACTAGGCCCGACTCGTATCAACCCCCCTTCTTTCATGGGGCCCAGCATGCCCCGACACGCGTACATAACGAAGGATTGAATGCCTCGAGAACTGCTCCCAACAACACCATCCCAGTGTATCCCATGGACGTGGGCGAACGACCTGTGTGGCTAGAAGACCTGAGCACACAGATACAAAATATCAACCACAAACAAGATGCGGTACTCCAACAAATGGGGGCCAACACGCAAGACCTCAAAGCTCTGGGAAAACAGGTACAGTCTCTCCGCACGGGAGTGCATGCACATGAGAGTAGGCTACATACTGCTGAGGACAAAATTGCAGCCCTGGAACGCAGGATGGCAGAAGTTGAATCTCGCCCCGTTAGCCCTTCCCCTGCGCCGAGAGGGTTGGAGCCTTGGCAAGGATACGGGGAGCATGTTCGGGGGCTCAGTGCCGCCCAGCCCTCGATCCGCTAGCTCTGCGACAGATGCAGGCCAGACGGATGATTTCCAACTAGCAATGGGCGGTTGGAAGGCGGCTAGAAGAGCCGACATCCAGGACGAAGTGAGACGCCTGTTCAACTGCTTCCAAGGAGCAGCCCTCCTCAAAGAGGTCTTTGTGCCCTTCGCCCGTTCTGACTTTTGTCGTATCGAGTTGCTGTACCCAGACCCCGCACCCAAAGCCAAACGACTCCTCCAAGGGACTGTAATACAGGCCCTTAAACAGGAAATCCAGAAAGGGAGCGTCCTGCCAGAACAAGAGCGAGCTAGGTTGTGGGTAAGTCGCAACCGCAGCCCTCAGGAGCGGGCTAAGCTCAGAGCGCTCCTGTCGATGAAGGAGATTGCCCTGACTAAGGTCATGGAAAGCGATGTCGACCTAGACTGGAAGGGTCGTCTTTGGGTCAGAGGGAGGGAAGTGCTGTGGTTTGCAGGAAAACGCCCCCCCCCCGACGGAGCCCTGATGCTGCAGGATGCTAAGGGAAATGACAGCGGGTGGTACGTGATACCGGCGGAATTCGCAGGTATCCTTGGGATCACTGAGGCAGACCTCCAGACTGCCTTTGAGACGCGTTAGGGAGTAGGGTGGGGCTGCCAGGACAACAAGGCTCGTCGAAATATTGACGATAGGCGTCGCTTGCGTAAAGACCTTAGGGTCACACAGTGGAACCTTCATGGTAAAAGCCTCGAAGGGGTTTATAATTTGCTGCATGAACTGGAGGACCCTCCCGATGTGATGTGTCTTCAGGAACTTGGAGGCCGATCGAAAGACCCGGTTGGCCGCTTAGTGACCGAGTCCTGGACGCTTAGCGGCCAGGAGTACAATGCCTACCTTCTGAATGCCCAGAAAAGCTTTAGGTCGGTAGCCGTCCTGATCAAGTCAGACATGCTGCTGGACCAAGTCACGACCACGTCCTTTGCGACCGGATTGGCAGTTGACATGCGACTGCAGACAACCACCTGGGCCTTTCTCTCTCTCCACTTGCCCCACGATCATCGAGACGATGCTACTGAGGTGTGGGAGAACACATTTGAACAACTGTCTGACTACCTGGCGAAACTAGCTCAAGGGGCGGCAGTAGTCATAGGAGCAGACCTGAATCAGGACCCACATAAGGCAGTGGATTCATTCCCGGGCATGACGCATCTGCGGGGCCTCCTCTGGAGATTCGACCTGCAGACAACGCCCTCTGTAGGACCGACATGGCACGCTAGAGGAGATGAGACAGAAATTGATGTTTTTCTTTGTAGACTAGATGGTTGTGAGCGCAATGTCACCAAAAGAGAAGACCTCCGCACAGCTCTGCCCTCAGACCATGATGCTCTGCAGCTGCACATACATGGACGAGAGCCCCTCTTTCGTGTCCGCAAGTACCCAAAAACGCGGTGTGGTAAATGGCATGTGCATGTCGACAGAATTCAAGAATGCATGACTCAGGCCGATGAATTTGACCAGAATTTCCTCTCTGCAGCTTGCCAGGAGTGCTCAGACAGACCCTCGAGCTTGAGGTACCAGGACTCTGACATAATTAAAAGCCTAATACAGTCCAGAAAAAATGCTGCTGACCCGGTAAGTCGTGCTGATCTTGCAAAGCAGATTAAGGAGACGCGTGCAGCAGACAAACAAGCCCATAAACTAGACCTCCTTGAGAGAGCCAGAAACGGGGATCACAGAGCTATAAGTCACCTGAGACAATCGGCGTTGGGGAGCAAACAAGAGGCGGGCTACATCGGCCGCAGTGGAGGCCTGCGACCAGCGCTGGATAAACTCAAGAGCTTCTATGAAGAAAAATATCGTAGAAGAGACGATCCCCCAGCTGAAGAGCAGGTGAGTCGGCTGCAAGCAAAAGGCCGGGAAGCGGAGTCGTCGGTCATCACCACAGAGGAGATTCGTGCGGCGCTGAAAGCCACGCCAACTGGAACCAGTGCTGGCCTAGATGGAGTGACGTACGAAGGGATTAAAGCGGTCCTACAGGTGGACAGCGCTCACAAGATTGCGAGGTATTTTACCGACCTTCTACAGGGCCGCAAACCGATCCCGGAAGCGTGGAAACGAGGCAAGATCTGCCTCCTCCCCAAAACTAGTAGGCCGGACCATCCGAAAGACCTCAGACCGATATGTCTTACGCCGTGTTTGTGTAGAGTCTTTGCCAAGGTGATCATGGTTCGCTTACGACGTTTTGCCCCCCCCTACGCTGCAGGACAGCTAGGGGCACGCCCGGGAACACAAACCATTGATGGAGTCATTGCAGCGCATACAGCACTCAAACTCCTTAGGAGAACAGCCCCAGGTACCCCTTGCGTGGCTAAGCTTGATATCAAAGCAGCTTTCGACTCGTTGTCACATAGAGCTCTCCTCAAATGGCTGCTTGAGTGTGCCCCATGTGAAGAAGCCTGGTGCCTGTGGAAGCTCTGCAGTGACAACACACTCGTGATGATGTTGGCAGACGAGCAGTGGACGGTGCCGGTCCGTCAGGGCATCATGCAGGGCACTTCTTTCTCGGCTGATGTCTTTGCGCGAGTGATTGACCATTTCCTGAGTCCTTTGCTCGAACGGTGGCATGTGAGGTACCCTGAGTGGCAGAGAAAAGTCAAGGCAATGCCGCACATGCTGCTGTACGCAGATGACATCTTGGTTCTAGCGAGCAACCCCCGTGAACTCCAACAGAAAATCCAGGACATAGCAGATTGTCTACAAGCTATAGGACTGACGCTGAACCCAGAGAAATGCCAGGTCCTGGCGGAACCTGACAAAACAGGGCCTGGAGTCTGGATGAGAGGCAGATGCACGCCCCTGCAGGTGGTGGACAGCCTCCTGTACCTAGGTGTGCCTCTCGCCCACAACGTAACGGATGAGATACTGTTGTCAGCAGCACTCAGAAAAACATCTAACACTTTCTTTGCCTTCAAGAAACTCCTCGACCACCCCCAAACGCCCCTCAAGGTCAAGTGGCTCGTTTTCGACAGATACGTTACCTCGCGGTGGCAATGGTGTTCCCCGATCCTCTTCCCCACTAAACGAATGCTGAGGAACCTAGAGGCAATGAAGAACACCCTACTGCTCAGCATTCTTAAGGTGCCGACTGACCCATTTCAGGACTGGGTCGCCAATCAAATCTCGAGAAGAAGAGTAGTACGCGTGGTGTGTCATCGAACGCAGGGCCCCCAGTGGACAGTGACTTGGCTACGACGCTTCTGGAAGTACTGGGGTCACTTGGCACGGTCCCAAGTAGAAACACCCAGCACGGAACTCTTCAAGGCATGCTCCTGCTGGGGGGTGGCGGCTGGTAGTACTCGGGCGGGATGGCTAACTGACTGCACCCAACGCAAAATACAGCGCATCTGGGGGAACATCCGGGCTCAGCTCCCACGTCCGGAGGAATACCCTGCGATGTGGGAACACTTGGCGCAGGTGCGTCATCAATGGCAGGCGACTGAGACATATTGGCAGAACTATTGGGCACCGCCGGCAGCTCAGGAGGATAGTCCGTGGTTGCTCAATAAACAAGTTGTGCTAATTGAGAATTCACACTATCTACTGCGGCCGAGCAGGGCACCGCCGTTGTACTACTATAATGGGGTGGTCTCCGTTCAACCGTGGCAACAAAAGGGAGCGAGAGAATGGCAACTCTGGGCTGAGATGGGGGCGCGGGACTTCCGCGTTGTCATTGCCAAACCGAATGCCTCTCCGGCTGCGATGACAGTCATGGCGGCACGCTCAGACACCCTTGAAGGAGACAGAGTAGAAACGATAGCCAAAGCATGGCTTTTCCTCTTTAAATGCATGAGTGCATTGCCAGAACATCAGTCGCGTGACCTAGTTGTTCCTGCCACTTGGTTCCTTCGACCCCTCTTTCAGGAGCAGGTGAGTCTGGCGCAGTATGCGACAGCGGCACGGATGTTGTCGTTCGAGAGTCGTCTTGGCATGGTCCTAGAAAATTGCTGTCTCCCCCCAAAAAAACTGCCGAAAGCCATCGAGGAGGTTCTGCAGGTTGAACACTGCTTCCCGGAGGAATACCGATACGTCATGCGCAATGGCAGTGGCATGGAAGCACGCTATTGGCGGTGATGTCAAGCACTGTGACAATGCCAGGAGGGTCTAACAGTAGGTGGCATTCCCTGACTGTTCATGGCCTCAGAACAGAAAGAACTTCGAAAGGAGCTCCTGGCACACGCGGACGGAGGAAGCAAAGACCTCCAACTCAATGCGAAAGCAGTGCTTGCGGTGGCAGCGGACCTCCAAGCAGCAGCCCTCAAAGTGACGGAGCTGCAGACGGAGATTGGGCAGCTGAAGTCGCTGAACTCTATTGAGGAGAGCGTCTCGGAGTGCCGGCTGCGCCTCAAAGAAATGGCAGACCAGGATTGGACGCATGATGAGTTCTGCCGTGAAGCACTGAGAGACATTGGGGCCAATGCTAGGGCCATCCACGAGAACAGCGAGACCCTCCTTGACAGAGTGCCACGCCTCCACAACAGGGCGCCGCCGATCCCTACGAGTGCGGGGGGAGGTGGAAGTCGCCCCTCAACGGATGGAGGGAGTGGCATGCCTCCTGTCATCAACCTCGTGGAGGCACTGGGAGGAGCGAGGCTGAGCCACCAACGAGGGAATGGCACGCCAATCCTGACGCTCCCCAACGGACAGCAGATGACGGTGGAGCCGAATGAGCTCGTGGCAATGCTCTACAGGCCATGACTTGGTCTGGCAAAGGCGCGACACATGAGGGGCAGAATTTCAAGAATTGGTAGAATTCGACGAATTTATGCACGCAAGCATGACACGGCCACAACAGATGCATGCCCTGAATTCTGTGCCTGGTTGAATTTGACATTTGCCGAATTTCGTGCATGCTGCTGACAAGTACACTTTAGTTAGGAAACTTTTACCATGTGTATTCCTGCAGTTTGGGTTGTGGTTGTGTGTGAGTGAAAAAAATTGGTGCTCGAATGCAAGAATTCACGCCTGTACATACCGGCACACATGCCCCCCCCCCGCTAACCCTGAATAACCCGGGTACTATGGGTCCCCACTGACATTTGAACATGGGTGCGTTCTGCGTGAAAGAATGTGATGCATGAGGACTAGCCTACTGCCTGTGTACACGTAGCCGTAAGTGCGCGTGCGTGCAGTGAGTCGACTAAGCATAGATTAGCGCGTGCATGCCGGCCCCAAAAACTGGACGCACGAAGCTGTATGCGTGTAGGTGCCCAGGTTGTGATAGCGCTGAAGCCAAATGACAAAAAAGGCGAGGGAGGGAAGGAAGGGAGGGAGAGTAGGAGGCCCTGCTGTGAGTTGATACTTGCTCCATACTGAAGTGATGTCGAATGAGGGCGATGTGGAAAACCCCCACCCCCCCCGAGCGGGTAGATTGCCCAAATCCCCTCAAGTGCGAAGCTCAGAGGGAAGGAGCCCAGAGACAGACTGGCCCGAGCCCTCAAGCTGAGTTCGACGCTGGTAACGCACAGAGCTCAGTTCTCACGCCACAGGAGCAGCACGACAGAGGCATATATACATATACTGTCACACGCTCCGCGTGCCCCCCCCCCAGCACTGGAATGATGTTCCGGCAGCTCTCCATGTACCAGCAACTACGCGCCCAATGCTTTGCCCCCCCCCTAACCAGCTGGGAAGATGCAGGTCGTTTAGCAAAAGAGATGCTGCATGCAGGACAACGCCAGATCTGGGCCCAACAGGAATGGAGGAAGTCCCTAAATGATCGCGAAATGGGGTTTGTCAACAAGCGGCATGAACAACCAGGGGGACAGGGAGGGGGAAGGGCTGTTGGATGGATGTCGGATGATGATGACAGTGGCGATGAAGGCGGAAGAACCTTTGTGGTAGTGTTTCCTCCGACTCCTCCCCGCTGAACTCCTCTTGCTCCTCTCTCGTGTGCGTGTGTGCGTGTGTGCCCCCCCCCCCCCCCCTAACCGAAACCTGGTTAAAACACTTCGATCACGTCAATCACTCTCATGCTAGTCCAACAACATGTATGGGGTGTATTCTAGTAAAACTGCCATGGTGGAAAGCCCTCGACGCAACACAAGACCCCCTGGAAGACGCGAGTGGAGCTATGGCCTACAGGGGGGGGCCACAGCGACCTCTAGAAAGAACTGGAGATCACTGCAAGCAGCCAGCAGCACACTGAATTCACCCTGGACCCTGGGACTGGATGTGAAGAATTTGGCGTGATCCCTGGCGAACGGGATGCATGGAATTTATCTGCGTGACGAGGAGGGATATCTGGTTGCTTCCGATGGGAGGACTGCGACAGTGGCATCAGTCCTGCACGTTCCCTTTTGCATGGTGTGCTGAGATGCAGACGTGGTCACTGGTGAGATGGGCAAGAGGGAGAATGCATTGAAGGGCGAAGTGAGAATTCAGATCTGCAAGCAGTGCATGTGCATGACTGGAAGAGAGGATGATTCGATTCTGCATGATTGCCACGGCCTGCTGCGTGGAATTCACCTGAATACATGACAAGACAGCCTTTGGCGGCCTGCATGAGATGGACACGAGATGCAACAACAGGGGGGAGTTCCTTGAGGTTCGAGAATGGAGAGAGCAGCCGAATGAGAGAGATGAGGGGAAGGTGCAGATATGAGCTAGAGGGCAGTTTCACTTCATCTGTAACCTCGCAAAGCCGAGAACAAACTTCTAAGCCTTGAATGACAAGCCATGAGGTAGAGTGACACTTATCTCCCGTCCCTTGTATTTCCTGGTGGGGGGATGGGTCTTACCTCTGTAGGGTTTTTGTTGAATAACAAGAGACGGCGAGTTGTACATAGTACACCTTAGTTCTTTCGAGGAGATGTGAGGGGCAACCGGGATCGCCTGTTTAATGGTTTGGGGGTGGGTCTTAGTATCTCGTGGTTTGTCCTTGTCGACCTCCATACGGGTCATTGCGGAAGTCCCTTACATAAGTGGTTTCACAGTGAAGGCGTATCGAGGTGGTCGGAGTGGTCTGTCGATGTATACTAATACCTGGCGTGTGCCTTTTCCTTGGACCTGATTGACCACTGGGTGCGCTGTTCTTCACGTGTTGCAGAGTAGTATAGTTGGATGAACGGACCCATGGACCTTGCCGGCCTTGTGCGAGAGTGAGCGACTAAACCCTAAACCCTAAACCCTAAACCGCAAAAACCCAGAATTCTGTGGCAAAAGATGCCTTGCCTGGCTTGTCTGGGAGCGATCTCAGCCGAAGCCCTGAACCCGAAGTGGATTCGCCCCGGCTGTGCCGGAGAGAAACCTGCAGGAGTGGAAAAAGAAAAGCCTTAAACCCTAAACCCTAAACCCTAAACCCTAAACCCTAAACCCTAAACCCTAAACCCTAAACCCTAAACCCTAAACCCTAAACCCTAATTAGTGTTGAGGCGCCGGGCCGCCTTGGACATGGAGAAGACCTTGCCCTCCTTCCTGGCCGAGTCGTGGAGCCGCCGCTGCTTCAACTGCCATTCGGCGGATGGCTCCGACAAAGGGGGGGGGGGGGTTGAGGGGAGTTTTGGGGGTTTAGGGGCTAGAGTTCAGGGGTTTAGGGTTTAGGGTTTAGGGGGTGAGGGGTTGGAGTTTAGGGCTTAGGGTAGTTAGGGCCGTGTTTTCTCGGGCTGGAAGCCGCTTTTCAGAAGCGCATGAGCCTTCCACGGGCGCCCGGATTTCGTCTAAGGCTTGGCGGCGCACCCCCTCCTCGAAGTGCTCCAGGCGTTTCCGCCACAGTTAAGATTAACAGCTGTACTCTCTCCTTCTCAGTATATATATATGTATAGAGAGATATAAGTATAGATATACACACACACCCACACCATTTCTACATATATATATATATATAATATGCATATACATATATATATATACACTTTTTTTTATGTTGTTTATTCTCTCTCTCTCTCTCTCTGTCTCTCTGTCCCTCTCTCTCGCTCTCTCGCGCTCTCTCTCTCTCTCTCTCTCTCTCTCTCTCTTTTTCTGTATTTCTGTTTTGCTTTCTCCCGGCCGGGGACTGACCCCGTCTCTTTGCCGTTCATGTGCATGTTTGATGGCACCTGCTGCTGCTGGAAGGTGTGGGGCTTGGGTCGTTAAAGAGGATTTGGTGGTGTCGGGCTTTCGAGCTAAGGATCTTCATTTGCCGGGATAAGAGCCGGGAGGGAGACTGCCTTGCCGTCCTTTCACAACTCGCTCTGCTTCTCGCCCCTGGCTTTGTTGGCCTCGTCATGTCTTTGCCCCCTCACGTTTGGAGTGCGAGTGGGCGAGCGAGACACTGACCAATAAGTGCGTGCGAGTGCTTGAGAAAGTGCATCCAACGCCCAGTCGCTAATGCTTCACGTTTCCACCGCTCCAACAAGCCATCCTGAAACAAGCCGAGAACCCGGAACGAGTTTTCGCAACGTCAACAAGGAGGAACCTTACTAGAATTTTAGTCTCAGCTTAACTACCTTATCTTTACTTCTCATGGTATGGTATAGTAGAGAGTAGATAGTATAGCATAGAGTAGTATAGAGTAGTATAGAATAGTATAGAATAGTACATTAAAGTAGATAGTATAGCATAGAATAGCATAGAATAGCATAGAATAGCATAGAATAGCATAGAATAGTATAGAAATAGTACAGTAAAGTAGAATAGTGTAGTCTAGTCCTGTATCATATCTTCCGCGGGCTCGAGGTCGACGTGCATCTCTCCGCGGCGACTCGGCACCTTCCTTATCCTGCCGGCAAGAAGCCCTCAAGCCCTCAAGCCCTCAACCGTAAACCCTAGGGTTTAGGGTTTAGGGTTTAGGGTTTAGGGTTTAGGGTTTAGGGTTTAGGGTTTAGGGTTTAGGGTTTAGGGTTTAGGGTCCTAAACCGGAACAGCAATACAACCATGATTTGGTGTTCTTCGTTGCTGTTTATGTGGGCCTTTTTCAGTTCCGCAGGCCAGGCGTGCCAAGATCAGCATGGATGGGCTCTTGGGCTCCCTGGCCTTCGCCGCCTTGCTCCCCGGCGAAGACGGCCCCTTACCCCCGCTTTGGCGCCCCAGATGGCAGTAAACCCAAAAGCCCCAAAAGCCCCAAAAGCCCTAAAAGCCCTAAAGGCACTAAAAGCACGAAGCCACGACTCCCACCGAAACCCTTGCCTGACTGCCTGTGAGGGCTGTTTCTGTGTCGCGCAGGTTCTTTTCCGTCGATGGCTCAGCAGTGGCGAGCCGCAACCCGTCCGACTGCGCCATTGAGCAGGGCTCTCTCACATGGTCTCGCAGCAGCAGCTATGCCGGTGTGAGGGCTCGCTAGTTACATCGAGTGACATAGAATTGCGGGACATTAAGGGTTTCGGTAAAAGATGGGCCCCTGTAGGTTTTGCAGCTCATCTAACTTTCAAGCCTTCCCAATACCCAAGTTTTGTGATTTCTTTGGGGCAGGATTGTGCTTGTTGCTTGGCTTGCTCCTGGCCCTGTTAGCTATGATGATGCTTGATCCAACTTCAGCTTGTCAGGCCGGTATCCATGCCGATAACCCGGACCAGGGGTGAGTGGGGTGTCCAACCCTAAACGCCCCAAACCTGAAGAGTGCGTTATGATGACAGGTATCTCTTCGCGTCAGTGCTTGCGATGCTGATGAACTCCGTTCCCTGCATCTTGGTGCATCGTTTGGCTCGCCGGGACTTCGTCCAACGAAGACAGCACACCTGGTTGCAGTTGGAGTCCTCATGTGGAAGGGATGGGTCTCCCTCTTAACTTCTCCTGGCGGACTTGCAGTGGGGGCTGCGAAGGGGGGCACTGAAAGGCCCCTGCCTTGAAGTTTGGAGCTGCAACCGCAAACTCAAGAGCCCGAAGTTCTGCCGTTTGCCTGAGTTACCAAACGCCTCTTCAGGCTCCGTGGCAAGAACCTCGGGTGCTGGCGGCTACTCCCGGGCACACAACATTCTCGACTAGACTAGATGGGGGGGGCCCCGAGGAACTGGCGCTTGCAACTGGCCCGCCGGTGGCTTGGGAGTCTCTGCTTCTGGTCCTTCGGCTTGGGGCTCTCCACCCTGCACCTCCTGATCATCGCGGCCTTCTTGGCACCTCTCTGAGCATAGGAAAGGTAGGCAAGGAAGTCCTAGAGGCCGCGTGCGCGCATGAGGAGGCTTTATAGGGTTCAGAGTAGGGCATGGAGGGTGTTTCGGGCTTGTAGGCTGTGTTGCTTTGTAGGGCTTATGGGGTTCAGAGGCCCTTAAGTACAGCCTATAAGGTTCATAGTAGGGCATATAGGGTTTTTTCGGGCTTGTAGGGTATATTTGAGAGTTTTTTGGGATCTGCTTGAGGATCCCCCAACCAAAACCCAGTCCTTGAGGCGAATATGGGCGAGGAGCACCATTGGGTCTGGATGTTTTCGTTCACGGTCGTCATCTTTCGCAAGTTGGTGGCTGATTTGCAGAGATCCGGTAGGTCTATGTTCGGACTGCACCGAGCATTCTGCATGTTGAGTACAAGCTGTTAGACCAGACTGATGCCAATTCCTGTAAACCAAGTCCCACGGCACCTTTCTAGTCGAATGCTCGCAGAGCCGAAGGGCCACACTACCGAACCTAACATAACCTAACTACTCGGCAGCATGTGATAGAGTTGGCACGTTTTCCGGTGCTTCGAAGATTCGGGCAGCATCGGGTGAGGTGATCGTCCCGTTGCTGGCCTGTGCGTTCAGCCTGGGCCCCGACCTACTCTGCGGCGGCTGCACGACCTCTTCGGCCCCGTCCTGAGCTTCTGAGGCTTTGCACCTATCGATCCCCAGCCCTATAGATCCCCAGCTCCCTATAAACCCTAAAGCCTAAACTATGAGCCCTAAACCCTAAACCCGACACGGCAGAGAGAGAGAGAGAGAAACCCTAAACCCAAGAAAAGCCCTAAGAATTTATCGCTGTTGGTTTTTTCCGGCCACCTTGACCTCACCGAGTCCACGGCGGCTCCAAAGAAGTTCGGCCTCGAGACTTCCGAGCCCCCTGAACCCTCAGAAATGGCGGAGGCGAGGGAGCCGTGAAAAAGGTATATTGATTTAGGAGCTTATAGGGGGCTTTGAGGTGTATAGGCTTTTGTAGTCTAGCTTCGTAAAAGGGGGGAAGTTCTGCTCCGCTTCCTTACCCCGACCCAGGCAGGGAGCTGGCACGCGAAGGTGGCCGAGCTGGCCGGGCGCGGCATTCGCGTCCGGCAGCTCCTGGACTTCTACGCGCGCCTCGGGGAGGACGTGATGACACACTTCGACCCCGCGAAGTCCACCACGCACGACGTGGTGCGCCAGGCCATCATCCCGCTGTCCATGGAGCTCAGGGACCTCCGCACGTTCCGCGTGACGCTGCACGAGGTCTTCGGGGTCGATGGCGGACCTTGCAAGATCACCGTGGGGGGCGGTGTGCCAAAGAGTCCAAAGCCCTGGAGTTCCGGCGATGGCATGCTGGCACCAGCCCAAAGCCTGCGCCTGGACCGGTTTAGATTCAGAACAGGCTCAGTAGAGACTCAGTTAAATCAATCCCAGAGATACCTGCCCCCAACTCCAGCCACCTTGAGCTAAGCCCTAAAACCCTAAAACCCTATATGTGCCCTCGTTGCGCGTAATCGACCCTCCCCCGCCCCCGGCATCCCCCCCAAACCCTGCCTGTTAACCCTAAAAACACCACGGGGGAGGACAGAGAAACCTCAGCCTAAACCCCACACCCCTAAACCCACCAATGAACGACAGGAGGGAGAAGGGTAAACCCGAAACCTTAGCCGCTTTAACCCTGAACCCTGAAGCGTAAACTCAGCCACAGGGGGGAGAGGGGAAACCGTAAACCTACCATTACCCCAAACCTTGAACCCTGATTAAACTCTAAACCCACAATGAACCAAAGGACCAGAGTGAAAATCCTGAACTCTACAGCCTAACCCTAAAGCCCTCCACAAACCCATGAACCACGGAGGGGGGGGATGGGACCCCAAAACCCACCATGAACCACAGGGCATGGGGGGGGGGGGGGGGGGGGGGGGGGGGGGCGCCTATGCTGGCGCAGAAAAACCCTAAAACCCTAAAACCCTAAAACCCCAGGCACCTTGAAGCCGCCTTTCTCCAGCCACAGGCTCGTTGAAGAGGTCGGCCGGGAGGAGCATCTTCATCTCTGCCTTCTCCCGGGCAGCTTGCAGCTGGAGGAGCGCCAGGGTGTTTTTAAAGGGTTTATGTTGGGGGCTTATGGGGGTTAAGAGGGCTATTCAATGGGGTTTATAGGGTTTTTTAGGGCTTCTGAGGGTTCTGAGGGTTTGTAGGGTTTTTTTAGGGCTTTTAGGGAGCCAAGCTGCAGGCTAAGATCCACGGCTCGACTTTCTGGACCGGCTTTTGTGGCGAGGCTCGCCTGTTGGGACGCTGGCGTGCGTGTTTCCATCTCTTCTTCACTGGGGATGACGGGCCTTGCTTTTTGGACAGTAAGGGCTGCAAGGGATGAACTTTCTAGGGGAGGCCCAGAAGCGAGCTCAAGAACAGTCCTGGACTTCAGAGCGCCGGAACTGGCCCGCTACCAGACGAAAGGTATGAGAACCAGCAAGTTTAAAGGTTCTAAAGCTTTAGAGTTCTGAGCTTGTCTTGACGAGAGTCCATGGAGCGCAAATTTTGTATCTGCTCCATGCAGGTGGCGGTCGGACCAGAGGGTACAAACCGTGCCGCCCTGCGACTCTCGATTCATCCCTGGGCAGAGGATGCGAGCTTCCCGGCACTTTGCACAACATGCTCCTCCCCCCCTGCTCGGCTCAGGCACCTCTTTGAATCACTGAACCCAAAAAGATCCCTAAGCCATGTTTTTGTATGGTCGCAGCCTTGCAAGAGAAAGTCTCTCTGGTGCACGTTTGGGTGCCTCTACATATCCGCTGTACTAGAATAGGACCCCCAAAAAGACCCGGATGTAGAGCACCTGAGGCTTCTCTTCAGATGCAGAAGTCCTCGACATCGACATCGAGGAGCGTGCTGGGGTGGGCCGGGTTTTTTAGACGCCTCTGAGCTTTCAGCATCTGTAGGTTTCATCTGGTTTCCTTGCCCTGGAGGCTCACAGTTCTACAGACTTGAAGTCCTAGATTTCCTGGGTACCCCCCCCCCCCTCCCCGGGCAAGACCTGTAAAGCCAAAGCCCTCAACCACGGTCCTTTAGAGGCGTCCCCGGCACGCTGCAACCAACGCCAGCACAAGGCTGGGCTGAGATGGCTTATGCTTATGGATGCTTCAGGATTGGTTCATGGGGTGTAGGTAGAGAAGAATCTGAAGACTTCTTCTGCGTCGTTTTTTTTTTTCAACTTTTTCTTAGAATACTCCGTAGCCAACAGATGAGCTCCGCCCGTCACGCAGCGCATGTCCGAGTTTTGAGCGCTTAAACTTATCAAGCACAGCTAGCTAAGCAACGGCAACAGAAGGTTCAGAAACCCCAAGCGTCCCCCGTGCCTTGCAAGGTTCTGTCGGCCTCGCGCGGGATCCTCGCCGACCCCCTCGAGTTGCCAATCGAGGCTCCCAAGAGTAAGCAGCAAGACTGTCCCCCAAACTCTCGGAGGTTTGGGATAAACGGTTTGTCTTGCAGTCTGCACGTCCAGTGTATCAAACGGGTTTGGGGGAGGTTGAATGTTTTTGTAGAAAGGGTGTAAGAAGGGAGCTCAACTGGAGCTCACTTTCCGAGCACTGGCAAAGAACGGCACCCGTCGCCGTCGGGTTTTCGAGCCTCGGAACGTTCCAGCTCAGGGGGGCCGGGCGCTCCGTTCGTGGGAATTCTTACAGCTCTTCAACCCTCAAGGGCTCCTTCTAACCCTAAAACCCGAGAATCCTAAACCCCTAAACCCCTAAACCCTAAACCCTAAACCCCCTTCTAGGATGGAGACCTGGCTGCGTAGAACCACACGTCTCGTGCATTCTTGCGTTCAATTTCTCTGGAGACTCCAAGTCGCAGGTCCACAGAAAAGGAAGCTGTGGAAGACCCTGTGCCTCACAATGACCCGCCCCCCCTAAACCCTAAACCCTGAACCCGGGCAACCCCTAAAACTGCTCCTAAGCTGCTAAGCTCCGAATTCATGTTGATCATACATACTTGTAAGATCGATTTGGAGACAGTAGCAGGGCCTGTACACGACCTCTCTCTCTCTCTCTTTCTATTTTCCCTCTTTCTTTCTCTTTCAGGTGGGGAGCCCCCTTGGGCCCAATCCAGGCGCCAGGGAGGAGGAGAGCTGTTTGACTGCTTTTGCGTTCTGTTTGAGGGGGGGTAAGCAAAGGAAACCTCTCATGAGGTGTTTTTCCAAAGTTTGCTTGGTGTACCTTCTGAGTGATGCTACAGCAAGAACATTTGGCGCACGATGCCCACTGAGCACCAAGCCATGTCGTTGGGAGCGTGCAAAAAGTCAGAATCTAGAGCCACACACACAAGGTTATCGGTTGAATCTCGCTCATGCCCATGGCAGCT